CCTTTAACTAAACTCTCAAGGGGCATGGTATGTGGAAATAGAACAATCTACTCCGGTGGACGAAATAAAAGGTTCGATTTGAAATTCCAATCACCTGAAGAAGGCCGCAGCGTACAACCACTGAAACGTTGTGAATATGGAAATAAAGATGACGCTGACATTCGGAATAATGTAAACAAAGTAAGTAATCATAATACCTCATCTCAGAGATATAGACAGATATATAGAGAGAGACATAGACATAATGGCCGGAGCGAACAACGGCCGAAACGTTGTGAATATAGCAATGAAGATGAGGATAACAGTCCGAATAATGTAAATAATGCAAGTAATCATAATAACTCATCTCAGAGATATAGACAGATATATAGAGAGACATAGACATAAAGGCCGGAGCGAACAACGGACGAAACGTTGTGAATATAGCAATGAAGATGAGGATACCAGTCCGAATAATGTAAATAATGCAAGTCATCATAATACCTCATCTCAGAGATATAGACAGATATATAGAAAGACATAGACATAAGGGCCGGAGCGTACAAGTAAATGTGCTATGATATTTTTATTTGCTTCTATGTGTGCTGCCGCTGAGTAAGGTTGAGAAACAATAGTTTGGGGTCTTTCATTTTTAGGTGATTTTATGCCAGTGCCTGGACTACCAACGCCATGTCAAACGAATCCTAACACCGAAATTAATACTTCAGCTACAACCTTTTTTTTTTAAGCCTACATGTAGTTGAAAATGCCTGATGTTGTCCAGTATTTATTACGGGATCACATTATTTGCTAGCACCAACTCGTGTATGCAAATTGTGCACCATAGCAGAAGACTGCAGCTTTGGAGAAGAGGAATAACAATGCTACACCTCAGGAAAAATGCGGCAATTCAGGTCTTAGTGACCCACGCTCCGAAATTTATCTGAAAGCCTGGGCAGTAGTAAGCGCAAAATGCTTTTTTCATCCATCGTCAACTCTGAATGCGAGAAGCCACATTTGCATCCGTTTTTTATTTCCTTCTTGCAAATATAACATTAGTTTCGATACAAGATAATATTGTCCAATATGTTGCTGGATCCCGAAGAAGCCATTATTGCAGACATTATTTACCAGTGACTAGTCGAGTATATAAATGGGGCATCACGGCAGAAAACTGCATCTTTGGAGAAACAGGAAAGTTGCCATCTTACAATATAACAGTCTAAAGCCTTACAGAGAAAAAAAAACACACAAAGAAACGTAGCAGAAATTTAGACAGGGAAGCATTATCTTATCTTTTGTACTCGCTTTACCTAGAATTCTCGAATAATCATTTGTTTTGAACAGCAGACCATTTCCCCAGAGGTAGAATATTCAGGAATAAGAAAGAAGTCAATAATGGTCTCCTTTCTTCCTTTACTTGAAATGCTTCAGAATATTATCAGCAGTGAATAGGGAAATTATCTTTACGTCTGGCTGCTGTAATTAACGGCGGTTACACGTAGAGTTGTTGGAACGTACTTATCTTGATCCATTTCCCTGAATCTGACCGTTATTCTGTAAATCTAACTGGAAAAAAGTCTTCTTTTAGACCATCAGGCAACTGTAATTAAAAACAAGTAAGGCAGAGATGCTGAGTAGTTTTAATAATAAACAACTTCCCAAAATCAAAGCTTTGTCAGTATAGATTGTAATTAAGAGTGATTATATATGTGTGGTTGACCCAGAAGTGTGTGATGATTATGGTTTGTTTTGTTTTATTTTGTTTTACGGCATATCAACACCTCAATGGGTCACTTAATGCCGAAACTTTTTTTTCCTGGTAATATTTCTGTTTTGAAAATATTTATTTCTGTTTATATTTTTTCCTCAAAAAATGTATAGCTGGTAATATTTTTTTTTTCAAAAACGTATAGCTGGTAATATTATTTTTTGGTAATAATTTTTTACGAAGTATTTCTGGTATTAAAACCAATTTTTACCTCAGTTTCGGGGTTAACTATTTGCCCATAGCTGGGACCCTAACAGGTGCTACCACACCGGGTCAGGGTGGACCTGGGGACACCAGCAATTAAAAGGTGGTTCCACGCTCTTCAAAACCTCCTGAGCAGAGGCCTTGCTGCTAGACGTAGTTTATCGTCTTACCCAGGACGCGGATGTAGTTTATTGTCATACTCAGGACGGATGATTATGGTAAACCGATCTTCCAATCTTGTCCTAAAGCCTAGACGAGTCCTGGGCATGACGATAAACTACACCCGGCAGCAAAGTCTTATCGAAAGATTAGAGGTTTTGAGGAGCGTGAAGCCAATTCTTAATTGCTGTTGTTCCTAAATCCACCCAGACCCTGGGTGGCAGCATCTGTTAGGGTTCAAGCTATAAGAAAATAGTAAGCACCCAAACAAAAACAAAACTATGTGAAAGTATAAAAAATACATTTTTATATAAAAATACTAACAATAACTGTTAATACTAAAATTACCAACAACCTATAAATGAACATGAAAGAACTCTTTGATGGCGTTAATCCATATAAAATCCTAGAGTTTCTTAAAGAAATCAAACTGTATTCCAAAATATAACTTAAACAAGACTACAGTATAAAACACACATCTCACCACCTCTAGTAATTATGGCCACGCAAACATGTATATGCATAAAAGCTGAGTATCATCTACCATGTATTCAATTGTGAAAGCAGAATAACATTATATTTTTATTACTTCAAAGCTCCCAAGAAAATTAAATTTCGGAATTAAACGTTAGGTTGACAAACATTTTCTATTTGTTCTTTACGTTATCATTCTGTCGGATCCCGATCCATATTTGATCCATATTTGATCTGTATTTGATCCATATTTGATCTGTATTTGATCCATATTTGATCTGTATTTGATCCTGATTTGATCCATATTTGATCCATATTTGATCCATATTTGATCTGTATTTGATCCATATTTGATCTGTATTTGATCCTGACTCAACAAATAGAATATGTGATCGATGTTTGATAGAAAACGACAGGTTTGGAAGATATAAACCGTGTCATCTTCCAGTATAAACACTGAAAATCTTCACGGAATAAAAAACATATCTAGGAGGAAATTAGACGGTGAAGATTCTATCTCAGATCTACTCTTTCTGTTTAGAACTTTCAGATAATCATTTGTTTCGAGCAATCGGCCATTTCTATCGAACAAGAATATTCAGGAATAGTAAAAGATTCATTTCCGGTTTCATTGCTTTCTTTCTACGAAAAACGCCTACTCATTTACTGTCTGCCATCAAGATGTGTGATGCTAATCTCTAGGAGACTGACTCGTTGCGTCTTATATTCTTGGCTGATACGAAGTGGAAAGATTATATTGAATCCATTGCCAGGTCTGTTGCTTAATCAGGTTCACCCCAAGCAAGACATTAAAGCCACTAAGATACAAGAGGTTACTGAATGTGGAATAATTACAAAACAGAAAGACCTCTTAGAAGCAAGTACAGAAGAAGAGTCACCCCAAAGAAACTTACCGTTTTAGAGTTATCGACAAGAAAAAAAAATCGGATTTCTTGATGATCATTCGTTCACAAATACTGTGTTGGTAACTGTGAAACGTACTAGAGATAAGTAATTGCATAAGTAATACAGGGATGGATTGGTTTGGTTTGGTTTGGTTTGGTTTACGGCATATCAACCTCAATGGGTTATTTAATGCCGACAAAATTTTTGTTGCTGGTAATATTTTTTCTTTCATAAATCTAATTTTGGTAATATTTTTTTCTTCAAAAATGTATTGCTGGCAATAATTTTTTTTACAAAAAGTATTTCTGGTATTAAAATCTATTTTTACACTTTCATAGTGTTTTGACCCCATTATGAAAGGGAAAGCACCTGAGGTGGTAGCACCTGTTAGGGTCCCAGCTATGTTAATAGCTGGGACCCTAACAGGTGCTATCACCTCAGGGTAGGCTGGACCTGGGAACACCAGCAATTAAGAGGTGGTTCCACGCTCCTCAAAACCTTCTGATCAGAGGTGTTGCTGTTGGACGTAGTTTATTGTCTTACCCAGGACGCGGATGTAGTTTAACGTCATAACCAAGACGGAATACAGCGATGGATTAATTTTAAAGACTTTGCTATTATCGTACGAAAGACAACGCTGCTTATATTTGCCTCAAAAAAATAAAATTTATTTGGCATTTAAAACTTTTTAAAAAATCAATTTTCCTTCAGAATGGAGGTAATCATGAACCTTCACAGCTTCCATTCCTTGAGTTTCCTTATCGGCAAATTGAATATAATGAATGGATTCTAGTTGCAACATCCACGATTTTAAATTCAAAGTTGTCTATATCTTAGTGTTTGGCACTCAAGTCTTTAGAGCACTCTCTACCCTGATAATTAATCCATAGCTAGGGTACGATAGATGGATTTTACATAGCCCAAGGGATACCCATAAAAGTGAATGTAACAGATTCGTCTGAAATTGAACCCTTTTCGTTGACTTTATTTTCTGCTTTGTTGCTACGTGACTAGGATATCCAGCTTTAGAATCATCATTCAACTAAACAAATAGTTTAGGAATCATCATTCGCTCTGTGATGTATTATTTTTGAAAACATTTTCAAACAGGCATCGAAGAACTGTCATTTACACATTAGATTATTGACAGCTTATTTGTTCCCCTACACATTAACTTAAGATATTATCGGTAACGGTTCATAAGAAAAAGCGACGGGAAATGGAACGGATAACAGCAGTAAATTATATATTTTGCGAAAGCGTTTGCGTCGTTGAAGAGAGCGATGATCGCTCAAGTCCTGAAGTGATATGACACAGAGAGAGGGAGGAGAGAGGGAGGGAGGAGGGGGGAGGAGGAGAGAGAGTGAGGAGGAGGGAGGGAGGGAGGAGTGTTGGAGGGAGAGAGAGAGGGGACTTTTTTTATCTGGCAAATTCTAGACATACCTATTGTCAACCCAGATATCTTGTTTGCTAATCCTTGGGCTCTGAAATCTCAATAACTCTACAGAGAATCCTACATAGATTATCTATCTATCTATCTATCTATCTATCTATCTATCTATCTATCTTTTAACCTGTTCATTTCTTTCTTTCTCACTGGCGTCATATCTGTCTACCTATCTCTGTCTCTGTCTGTCTGTCTGTCTGTCTGTCTGTCTGTCTCTCTCTCTCTCTCTCTCTCTCTCTCTCTCTCTCTATATATATATATATATATATATATATATATATATCACCCGGTTCATTTCTTTCTTCCTCGATGTTCATATCTATCTATCTATCTATCTATCTATCTATCTATCTATCTATCTATCTATGTCTCTCCCTGTCTCTCTTTATATCAATATATATATATATATATATATATGTATATATATATATATAAGGCACAAGCACTAATATTCCATGGTTATAATTTATTACATTAGAATCGTATTCACGATCCAATTCATCAGACGTACAAATTCAAAATATATTGAGCACTAATATTATCTATCTATCTATCTATCTATCTATCTATCTATCTATCTATCTGAAGATCGCAAGGGCGTGAAACCAGGGTCACAAACTCGCATCAATACAGCTAAATATGTTAACTCTATCACTTATATTGAGCTCTTTTCAATAAGTAAAAGACAAACTGAATGCGCTCACAGAAACTTTGAAATGACGAAACGACATCAGGGACCAAATAAGCTTTGAATGTCGAGAGATGTTATTTAGTCAATCTTTTATTTATTAAGAACGACAATTGTCTTGGAGATTTGAGAGGCGCAGGGGCGAGTAGACTTTGGCGGCAACCTACAATGTTATTCAATAAAGACAATCCAATTAAGATATTTACAAATTGAAAATGTCTTCACCGATTACTGATTAGAAATTCATGGTCGGAAATGACTTTTACTATTGGAGGTGCCAAATGTATCTACCAGTCTATCTCCATTTGTACATTATGTATCTGTCTATCTATCGTAGTCTATTCGCATCTCTCTCTCTCTCTCTCTCTCTCTCTCTCTCAATCTCATTCTGTTCATATCTGCATCTGATGAGATCTTTTTCTCTGTTCGATGCACTTTCTCTTTCATTCGGTTCATTTTCTTTCTTTCTTTTTATTCTTTCTTTTTTTCTTTCCCACGTTTCGTTCATATCGCTCTCTCTCTCTCTCTCTCTCTGCCTACCTCTCACTTTCATTCTATCTATCTATCTATCTATCTATCTATCTATCTATCTATCTATCTATCTATCTCTGTCTCAGTCGGTTTCTATCTATCTATCTATCTATCTATCTATCTATCTATCTATCTATCTATCTATCTCGTTATGTTTATATCTATGTGTCTATCGATATATCTGTCCATCACGTTATCTATCTATCTATCTATCTATCTATCTATCTATCTATCTATCTGTTACTTAAACCTTTTTTTCTAGTGGATACTCATATTTGAGTAGACGCTAGGTTTATTTATTTATCAGTATAATTATTTATTTTCGTCTAGCAGCCTGAATATTCGAGAAATCTTATTAAAGAAAAATATGCTCTCTCCTGCAGGATTCGAACCTACATCCTTATAGACAAATCGGCATTAGATCTGACGTGCTTTGACCTTTCGGTCACGGAGCGCGACGAGAGCCCAGTAAAGTCTGACTAGTGCCTTTAAATACTGATTTTTCTCTGATTCTTGAAATACACATATCTACTCAATTTCGTATTTTAACGTAAACAAAGCAATTTCTAAAGAAAGGAGTGGATTTTTTAATGATTTATTAATCCGACAGATTTTCATTACTCAAACATTGTTTTAAGTAATAAAATATCTCGGATTAATAAATAATTAAAACAACTTCATTCCTTTCTTTAGAAATTGCTATCTTAGGATGTTCAAGTCTAGAATATCTCGCTTCCACCCGCATAAATTACAAAAGACATCGAAATATAATATAAAAATGTTAAAAATTAAAATATAATAAGAGTAGAATTTTGTGATAAAATCCAGTTCAAACTGATGTCCGTAAATCCCAAATGATTTTTCTCTGGGCTGCATTTTCAGAATGAAAATTTGCTCATGCCTCACCAAATTTTATGTGATAAAAAGCACATTTAAAATTAAAAAAAAAAAGGATTATAGGGAGATAACCGCAGATTCGAAGTCGGAACATTATTATTGATAACTCTCTTCTCCAATTTACAGACCCTAGTTACTATATTCTTAATATTTGATATAATGTAAAAATATCACAATGACAAAATTGGTCAATAATTATTTATAACTATTTATACTGGGAATCATGTATGCAATTACAATTAATCCATAATAATATTTTAAATTTTGAAATCATATTTATTTTTGGCATATGAATTTTTTAAAAACTGTTTGTAAATCTTTGATTGTCTTTCAATCATTCCGCCTCACCAGCTAACCTCTTCTCTCCCTCTCTTCCTCCGACTCACCTTCTATCCTCTTCCGCCTCACCTGCTATGCTCCTTCGCCTCACCTGCTATCATCTTCCGCTGCACTTAGGAGGCGTGCCCCACCGTTTGGGAACCACTGCCCTAGAATATTCACCCTGCCAGCCCTTAAGTTGTTGACCAGTCACATGACTTAAATTTTAATCGATTTTAAATTTTCCTTGAAATTGAACAAATCATTCCGATTCACCTGCTATCCTCTTCCGCCTTACCTGCTATCTTCCTCCGACTCACCTGCTATCTTCCTCCGACTCACCTGCTATCCTCTTCCGCCTCACCTGCTATCCTCTTTTCGCCGCACCGTTTGCCAACTACTACTTTAGACATTAGCAACGGAAGTGGACCACATGCCTCACAACGATACGAGAGGCAATTTAAGAACATGACGAGAGTTCTTAGATTAATGTTTTGGTTTTGAGTCCTCTTAAAAAGGATCCGATAATTATTCTTGGTTTTATTTTGCTGTTTTGGTGAGAATAAGAATTTATGAGCTGATTTTTATTAGTTGATGTCATTTTTAAGCTTGCTACTGATAGTTTTTAGCATTTATAGCATAAAGTGTTAATTTTGAAATAGTCACCTATGATTTTCCACAGAAAATTGGATCTTACGACAGTAGTTTACAAACTTTTCTTTTTCTGGTCCGCATTTTCGGAATTAAAATTTTCACACGACTCACAAAAATTTATGTGCTAAAAAGTACATTTAAAAAACCCCCAAAACCCCCAAAACAAAGAGAGGGTTAAAGGGAGATAACCTCGAATTGGAAGTCAGAACATTATCATTGATAACTCTCCCCTCCAATTTGCGGACCCTAGTAACTATATTTTTAATACGTGATATAATGCAAGAATACCACAATGATAAAATCGGTTAATAACTCTTTGTAACTATTTATACTAAGACTCATGTATTCAATTACAAGTAGTCCATGATAATATTTAAAATTTTGAAATCATATTTATTTTTGGCATATTTATTTTTTGAAACTGCTTCTAATCTTTTAATCATTCCGCCTCACCGGCTATCCTCTTCCGCCGCACTTATGAGGAGCGTCGCACAATTCGGGAAACACTCCTCTAAATATTGACCAAAGCAAAATAGAAAAATCAAACAGTGTAATCCTATCTTCTTTAGCCGAAACGTGTGAAATCATTACAAGAGTATCTCGACAAAAATGATTCTTCCGTGGGACGACGATTGAAAAAAATGAAACCAACAAAATGAATAAAAAGAAATAAAAAGAGGGATAATAAAAAAATTAACAAAGAAAAGTAAAAAAAAAATATTACTTCATGCACTGGGAAACCTGTGAAGAATTGGAAACTACAAAAATGAAGCCAAAATAATTTCTCGAACTATCAATTGCTTGAAAGGCAGATTGCTCGAAGTAATTTCGAATCTCGAAGCACCACGTAAACTGCGCCATCTCACGACGCGTCAATGGAGCTGGATATAAAAGGAGCCACAAAACTCAACTTTAGCAGTCCTGATTTTTTTTTTTTATATTTGTTTTCTATTTCAATTTCAGTAATTTTGGAGATCTCGAACCCTAGTGATGGACATAACTTTTGTTGAGAGCGAAAAAGGAAAGAAGAAGTTGTGTTTGGATGGATATATCTATATATTAAGGACAAAACAGTGAACAATAAGATTTACTGGAAATGTGAAATGTGCAAAAAACAAGAAGTTTACAAGAATTGCGAATAGAGCAATATGTGGGAGGAGTGAATGCAGCTGAGGGCAGAAAAAAAAGTACCGTGACTGTGCAATGCGATTAAAGAATATTGTATCAAACTATGACACAACAAACAATGTTGAAAAATATTTAAAAAGTGTTGCATATAATATTTCATATTAATAGACTAAATATTAGCAACAATAGTTATATTTCTTTTCATTTTTTAAATCACAAAGAATAACAGTAATAATAAAAATGTAGTCTTTATTTTAAACTATGACAAAAAAGCAATGTAGAAGAAAAATAAAACCTACTATATAAATGTACACGTTTTTCAATTTTAATTGTTCAGTTAACAACAATAAAGTTGTATTCTTTTATGTTATAGTAAATATTAGAAGCAATTGATAGTTCGAGCAATTTACTGTCGAGCAATTGATTTCGAGCAATTTACTGTCGAACAATTGATTTCGAGTTCGAGCAAATTTACTGTCGAGCAAATGATTTCGATTGATAGTTGATTTCGAGCAATTTACTGTCGAGCAAATGATTTCGAGCAATTTACTGTCGAGCAAATGATTTCGAGCAATTTACTGTCGAGCAATTGATTTCGAGCAATTTACTGTCGAGCAATTGATTTCGAGCAATTTACTGTCGAGCAAATGATTTCGAGCAATTTACTGTCGAGCAAATGATTTCGAGCAATTTACTGTCGAGCAATTGATTTCGAGCAATTTACTGTCGAGCAAATGATTTCGAGCAATTTACTGTCGTGAAATTGATTTCGGGCAATTTAATGTCGAGCAATTGATTTCGAGCAATTTACCGGATACGAAACCAAACAGCATAGACAAGTTGTTGAAATGTGAAGAAAAGCGAAACATCACGTAACACTCGATATTTGAAACCAAAACAGAAGAAATGTCCAGGACTAAAAAAAAACAAAAAACTTTGTGTCACATTTCAACCTGGACGACACTAATTCAGAGGAAATAAAATATAAAACAATATATATCCGGGCATTACAAAGTCTGTCTCTAAACATAAACAGCAACGATCCTAGTGACGAGGAAGTCAAGAAAGCTATGACAATAAAAACATAATAAACTATCACTTGAAATTGAGGTTGAACTTTTGAAAATAGCTTTCACTCTCCCCGAAATTAAAAACACGTTTCACAATTTCATGAAGGAAGTCCGGAATTAGAATCCCATCTCATAATTGCAGGATATTAATGGACTGTGGAACAAAAGTAATTCTCAAGACACAAACATATTTTTTACAGTATGGTTCACCCTGTACAAGGCCCAAGGGTCACTCAAGGTAGAGTGTTACATTTACGTTTATATGGATATAAGGGGAAGATAACGGTTAATTCTAGACTTGAACAGGTTAAAATTGTAGTGACCGGAGGAAACATTCTCTTGGGAGCCTGTTCCACAGGGAAGTGGTTCGCGGTAAGAAGCTGTTTGAGTGGAATTTACTTTTCACCGATGGAATACGGAGGAAATGTGGGTGGTTTGCTACTGTGTAAGTGTCATGGCGGGTCCTAGCCGTAAAGGTTAGACCTGATGGAACCAAGGAATGTAGTTTGTCTGAGCACTTTAGCGATAGAGCAGTGAGAGACTCACCACATCCCGCTTGTGGGAGGGAGAGGTTGAAGTGTAGAAAATAATTCTTCAACAAGGACTCAGAGACGCTGTTGAACTCTATCAAGACTGGAAAGTGAGGAGTGGGCAGTTCCCGAATAAATATGGCAACAGAACTTCAGTTTCGGTCGGATCTGGCTCTTATAAAGATCGATGATAGCATGAGGAGTTAGCGAATTGCAATTACTTTCCTATTATCACCATTAGTAGTAGTAGTAATAGTATTACTACTACTAGAAGTACTAATAGTAGTAGTTTTCTTTTTTCGCTGAATGTAGTGGAATATGAATGCGTATATAAGCCACGTTATCACAATTAGTAGTAGTAGTGATAGTATAGTAGGATTCCGTGTTCAAGGCTCGGGAGCCACTCGAGGAAGAGGATTTAGTTAAGGAGTAGATTATATGGATGGAAGGGGAAGATAACGGTTAACTCTAGACGTGAACAGGTTAAGATCTTAATTATCGTGGAAACATCATCTTGGGAGTCTGTTCCACAGGGTAGAAGCTGTTTGAGTGCAATTTCTCGTCGATGGAATACAAAGGGAATGTGGGTCGTTTGTTACTATTTAAGTGGCATGGCGGGTTCTAGCCGTGAAGGTTAGACATGGCGGAACCAAGGAATGTAGTTCATCCGAGCACTTTCCATGGTGAGAGATAGATAGATAGATAGATAGATAGATAGATAGAGAGATAGATAGATAGAGAGAGAGAGAGGTTGAAGTGTGTAAAATAATTTATGAATTAAAGAAATCCTAAATTTTCGCTTGAGGATGAAACAGTGCTTGATACTTTAATTCAATTTAATTTTAATAATTATATTGAGATTTTCGTCTCTTGGTTTTGAAACATGAGAACTCTTATGAAACGAAGGAATCATATTTTTTTTTAAAATTATATATATATATATATATATATATATATATATATATATATATTAGAAATCTTTTTCCAAGTTCTGACTCCATTGGATGTCTCCGTTTGATAGTGGAACTTTATCAGTTCACAAAGTAATAAATGTCTGAAGGTCTAAACATTTCAAACATCATCAGGAGTACGACAAGGAGACATTGGAGACTCATCTATTTAATCTCTTCCTAGGCCATTCTCTGCGCATATACAAGCACAAATATAAAGAGATGGAAACTGATCAATAATATACTCCCATACCACATCCCAAACTAATCTAACAATAGAAAATTCCTTGAACAAAATATCAACATCCATCTGCAGGTTAGACTACAGCAGATGTCCTCTAACTAGGTCTCTCGTGAGCACGTCTGAGTAACCCTTCCGCCCTGGCCAGTGACCTGTGTCGACGAGGTTCTTTGTGGTGTTAACACCACCCCTTCATGTGAGTTTAGCCCGCCAGCTTAAATGGTTTACCAGACATGGTAACTTGGGACCATCACCTCAATTATGTGCCATGCGTGATACACGCTTAAGCGATCATGTATCTTTTGATACATGACTGACAATGTAGATTTTTCCCGCAGTAGTTTGCCATTACTTTCTGAGGTAGACCAGTTGCCATCAAAGACTATAGAAGCTGGTCTGCTATTTACCCATAGCTAGAGGGGGAAGAAGAGGATTAATACCTTTCCCAAGGGTATTAGCACGCAAGTGGAAGTAATGACTGGAATTCGAACTCTGGTCTCTGATTTCCCAATCCGAGCCGCTATCCATTACGCAACCGTGCCTCCTCATACAGATTTAGAATATGGTTGACACTGGAGACTAATCTATTTAATCTCTTCCCAGACTATTCTCTGCGCATATACAAGCACAGATATAAAGAGATGGGCACTGATATTTTATGTACTCTGTACAACATCCCAAACGAATATTCCAAGAAGTAGGACTAAAGATAAACTTTCCGAAACAGGAACTTATTTTTCTTTCGCCCTTAACCGCGGAAATTGGGGCGGTGACGCGCTTAGCTATCCACCGTTTTTTTTCATCTGTCGCAGTCGTATGTCAGAGCCTGGGTCTCCGCGAATGGTTTCTTTAAGTGCTCATCATATAGCGTGTCCTGTGTGTTTTAACCTGGCGAACCCCACCCATCTCGAGGTTGTATCACAACCTATGTCCCCCAACTAGGCGGCTCGTTGCAGTACATCTGGGGAACCCTTCCTCTCTGGTACGGTGACCTGCGACCATAATGTCCTTCGCCCAGTAGTGCCGTGTTAACATCACCCAGCTCACGTGAGTTTAACCCACCAGCTGAAACGATTTACCGGGGCATAGCAACTTGGAGCCATCACGTGAGAGATTTAGGAGATGGTTGAGGACCAGTGAGGCCCGTCCACTCGAAGGTGCAATGTGCCTGACACCAAAGGTACTACCTTTATCGGTGTGAACAGTTAGTCATCAACCGCACTACTTCAAGAAATAAAACAGGTACTATAATCTAGAATTATATGGTCAGTATTTAGTATTTAATAATTCTACATATTGAATTTTTTATCGATTCAGGGTAGACTGCAACACTTCTTTCTTTTCAAAACAGGAACACAGATCTGGAATTGAAATGAAACCAGTGATGGGACCTACTCTGAATCGATCATTAAAAAAAAATTCAAAATGTAGAATTAGTAAACACTAATCACTTCAAATTACTCAGTGCTTGAATCAGTTATAACAAATTTAGTATATGAGATAAGAAAGCTGAATATAGAATAGTCTGCGCTAAGCGGCAGTTTCACACAATACCTCCAGTTGCTATTAAACTAAAACATCTGTCTATATCTCTGAGATGAGATATTATGATTATTTGCATTATTTACATTATTCGGACTGTTATCCTCATCTTCATTGCCATATTCACAACGTTTCGGCCGTTGTATACTCCGTCCTTTATGACTATGTCTCTCTCTGTCTATATCTCTGAGATGAGGTATCATGATTACTTGGATTATTTACATTATTCGGATAGTTATCCTCATCCTCACTGCCATATTCACAATCTTTCGGCCGTTGTACGCTCCGGCCTTTATGTCTATGTCTCTCTATATATCTGTCTATATCTCTGAGATGAGGTATTATGATTACTTGCATTATTTACATTATTCGGACTATTATCCTCATCTTCATTGCCATATTCACAACGTTTCGGCCGTTGTACGCTCCGGCTTTTATGTCTTTGTCTCTCTATATATCTCTCTATATCTCTGAGATGAGGTATTATATTTCTATCTATCTATCTCAACCTGTACATTTCTTTCTTTCTTCTTTCTTTCTTTTCTGTTCATATCTATCTATCTATTTATCTATCTATCTAATTGTATTCTAATGTCTCCTCCCATTTCACTATTCTACCCTTCTGTCATTCTTGTCTTTCATCTATCTATCTATCTATCTATCTATCTATCTATCTATCTATCTATCTATCTCTCTCTATATATATATGTGTGTGTGTGTGTGTGTGTGTGTGTATATGTATGTGTTCACACCTTTTTAATTTATTCACATCTATCACAGCCTGTTCATTTATTTCTTTTTATTCTGTTCATATTTATCTATCTGCGTATCTTCGCAGCCATATCTATCTATCTATCTATCTATCTATCTATCTATCTATCTATCTATCTATCTATCTATCTATCTGTCTGTATTCCAATGTCTCCTCCCATTTCACTACTCTACCCTTCTGTCATTCTTGTCTTTCTTCTTATTTTCTTTCTTCTTATATCCATCTCTGTCCACCCATCAAAAATACTCCAATCCTAAACCTATTCCTTTCAGAAAGTCTCCAACGACAGCCCATAAGTTACCAAGCAAATAACTTTTTATTCAGTCATCACAGCAGCTATAATTTACGTTGAAAGCAGAAAAGAGAATGTCTTGCTTGCATCTATTTCTAAAACAAAGTCTGAAGCTAATAAGGATTCTCCAGTCTCTGCTACTCCACAGCAGACAAGTCTCTATTTCGTCATCGTGTCTTCTTGTCTATGATTCATTCAGTCTTCCGTTTTGAAAAGGCTTCAACCGGAAGTTGATTAATCGTGTTTCTTCTGCTGATACCGATTCCGATTGGATTTGCCTAGACAGGAATAATGGTTACATGACTGACTGATAGTCTGCATATTCTTTTTAACCAATTGACTGTTTCTTTATTTCTATTGCCAAGGGGGTTACAATTAAAACACAGAGAGGTGGAGAGAGAGAACATGATCAAAGAAAATGTAAGACATGGGGAGGAGAGAGACTACAATGAAAGAAAACAGAACGAAAGAAAAAGAGAGAGGAGAAAAAGCGAGAATCGGAGACCACAGTGAAGGGAAAGAGCAAGAAAAAGAAAAAGAGTGATCACAATGAAAGAAGAGAAACAGAGAGAGTAATGTGACAGAATAGCAAGAGAAAGAGATAGACAGATAGATAGATAGATAGATAGATAGATAGATAGATGTAAACAGACTGAGAAATATACGGTGAGAGTGAAAGATAAATAATAAAGAGACTAATATAGATAGATAGATAGATAGATAGATAGATAGATAGATATCAACAGACCGAGAAAGAAAGAAATGAACAGGGTGAGATAGATATCTGTCTATATTTCTGAGATGAGGTATTATGTACACTATTTACATTATTCGGACTATTATCCTCATCTTTGTCGCCATATTTATCACAACGTTGTACGCTCCGGCCTTCTTCAGGTGGTTGGAATGTCGAACTGAATGCTTTATTACACTCACCGGGGAAGACTGTTCTAGTTCCACGTGCCATGTCTAATGGATGTCAGTTATCAGTTATCTTCTGCTTAATTCCCTCTCCAAGTTCTTCATCGCCTTAACCAGGCATTGAATTCACAATCTTTGGGTCCTGTCACTAGATCTAACTAACGCCTTTGACCACTGTGGCATGTGTCCTTGAGGACATCTGGGTATGAATTTCTGGGTATTATAAACCTAATGTTTTCAGCCATCAATTTTTACAAGTGCTCATATTGCAGTTTTTGCTGTTAACATCCATATTTTTACCAGAACTCATATTGCAATTTTTGCTGTTATTATCGCTTTTCTCTGGCACTCCTCATTACTGGTGCCCATATTGTATTCATTTCTATGCTTGGTCAGCTCAGGAGATTTTTGTGGCCGAGCATATGTGCTGATTCCTTAGGTTTACGAATTTTCCAATGATGTTCTTTGTCTATGATCTCGACATATAACCGACATTATAACCGGCAGTACCTCAATTTCAACTCCCACCATCGATACAGCGTAAAGAAAGGGATCGTCCACTGCTTAAAACACCGAGCAAAAGACATAAATGGCGACCCAGAGATATGAGATAAAGAATTGGTCAGTATAAGTAGTTCCCTACAACGTCACAACTACCCTGGGTACATGACAGCAGCCCCTCCCCGCCAACAACTGAGATAGGCGGGTACAAGATGAGGACAACACTCAGAAAACAGTCTGCCTGCCTTATGTGTAAGGGGTATCAGAGAAAATATAAAGGATCTGCAGTCCATATAACATCAGGACAACTTTCAAAAGCTGGACGACACTTCGCAGATATCTCTCCCGAGTAAGACTTCCACCCCCCATAGAGGAGAACATGACTAAAGACGCTATCCCGTGCAGCTGCGGAAAGAAATATAAAGGGGAGACAAGTCGCCCCCTTAAGGTAAGGCTTCAAGAACGCCAGGAAGCTGTAACACGAGGGGAAGAGGAAAAATCAGGCGTAGCTGACCACATATGGAGAGAAAAGGGAAATCACAGCCCTCTGTGGGAGCAGGCTGAGATCACCTGAAGAAGGCCGGAGCGTACAATAGCCGAAAGGTTGTGATAAAATATGGCGACTGTTGAAACTTATAACAAAATGTATTGAAACAAGAAAATGTACACAATATTTACATATAGTTTTTTGTATATTCCTGGTAAGACCGTTCCTGGAGAATGTGTTGACTTCGTCGCAGTCGGGCAGAGTCTCTGGTTGAATCTCTTGATTCCTCCCTCTCTTCCCGGTACCAACCATATTTATATGGTCGGTAATCCACTATGCAAATTAGATGGATCCTACCACAACAGCGACAAAGATGAGGACAATAGTCCGAATAATATAAATAGGGTGAGATAGATAGTTACATAGATATGAACAGACTAAGAAAGAAAGAAAGAAAGAAAGAAAGAAAGAATTGGGTGAGATAGATAGATATGAACAGACTAAGAAAGAAAGAAAGAAAGAAAGAAAGAAAAAAGAATTGGGTGAGATAGATAGATAGGAACAGACTAAGAAAGAAAGAAAGAAAGAAAGAAAGAAAGAAAGAAAGAAAGAAAGAATTGGGTGAGATAGATAGATACGAACAGATTAAGAAAGAAAGAAAGAAAGAAAGAAAGAAAGAAAGAAATGAATTGGGTGAGATACATAGATAGATAGATATGAACAGACTAAAAAGGAAAGAAATAAAGAAAGAAATGAAGTGGGTGAGATAGATAGATAGATAGAGAGACTGTGGCCCCAATGAAAGGTGAGAGAGAGATGAAAAAAAACAAAAAAGAAACTTAACCCTCTGCCATGAATTGAATGATTGTTTCTAAATGCATAGCAAAATCAATTTTTAAATCTATAATCCCCCGCAAACCATTAACTAATCAAATTAGCTATAAGAAAAAACATGAAACAAACAAATTTTAGCTTTATGCAAAAATCAAATATGGGAGATCCGTGTTTTTCCCGGCATTCATTTGCCAAGGTAACCATTTTACACGAAGCTCGAATAATTAAATACATGCGTTAAAGCGTTTTCGGACAAAAAATACTTTCTCGCAATTAATTTTGGCAAAGTTCAGTGGTGGAAGAATCTAACATCGGTTCGTCAGCAAAAGTAACATATCAAAAGTATGAACTACGTAATGGAGATGTCGACAATAGGTAGTTGCAGAACACTAACTGTTTGGAAAGTACAGTAATGGATAATGAACAATGTGACACAGAAAAGCGAAGGCCTATGGGCATAAAGAAATATGTCTTCCCGAAATTAAGCAAAGTATTCGGAGATAGGAAAATACCATTTATAAAAAAAGAATACACACACGCACACATCTTTTTTTTTTAAATGTTTAAATTTTAATTTCCTATTTAATTCCTGAGTTGACAATGCTAACAGTATAGGTCTTGTTGGGCGAAATAGCTATTTAAGTGAGATAAATTTGGATTTCTGTTCTATATAATTTATATGCTCTGTTATAATAAATACATTGAGCTCTTTTGGTGTATCAGTTTTAATATTTTATATTATTAGGATTGACTTGAATTATATACCAACGGATTATTACACACACACACACACACACACACACACACACACACACACACACACACACACACACACACACATATATATATATATATATGAAGAAATATATTCTTAAGATGTGCTATATTTATGGGCTGACGATTGTATATAGCATGAAACAGACTGTCGCCTCTAAGTGTTGACTTCTATGTTCACTTTCATATATATATATATATATATATATATATATATATATATATATATATATATATACTAGCAGTAGAGCCCGACGTTGTCCGGGGATGTAACAGTAAGAGATAGATCAAGTATCAACCATCATAAAGACTGAAAAATAAAATTGACAAAGATTATTGTTTAAGGTTGACGGACACGCATGTCTTAATTTTTTTTTTTGTTTTTTGTTTGTTTTTTTTTTACGGATTGGTCAAACCCAAACTCAAACAAAAACATTGTTTTCAATCGTTATGAGTCTACCGATTGAATAGAATTTTATTATAAACAATTGTCTTGTAAATGGAATTTTTAAAGCATTCTGAATGTAAAAATAAACAAAAGAAGTGTGCAAGACAATAAGAAACACTACCTGCCAAAAAAAAAAATGAAGTTTTGTTGAAATCGGTTGAAAAATGTAGGAAATCCGATCCCATATATAAACGAACACACACACACACACACACACACACACACACACACACACACACACACACACACACACAGCCAACCTGGGTTTTATAATAAGTATAACTCGATAACTCGATATTAATAAGTATAACTCGATATGAGTTGTCCCCTTTCATTAATGCCTCTTAAACGTGTTTTCAAATTGATTTCGTGCAAAAACAATTGTGTTTTCCAATTTTTGGCGCTGTCAGAACCACCGCAAGGTAATTTTACGTAGTCCTGTGAAGTTTTATTGAAATCAGTTGAAAAAATGTAGGAAATCCGATCCAATATATAAACGTACACACACACACACACACACACACACACACACACACACACACACACACACAACCTGGGTTTTATAATAAGTATATATATATATATATATATATATATATATATATATATATACGGTTAATGGTGAGAGTTGAATCAGACCAGAAAACAATAGTATTAGAAAGAGCTCAATACACGTTTAAAAACAAGTAAAATAATATAAAGAGCTTTTAACTTTTAAAATCAGAAGGTCCGTTGAATACGCCAACTTGGTTTCAACATTACAGTATCTTCAAGCGATTTTAACGTTTTTTCTTTTTTTTTAAACTGAAGAAAACTACATTATTATTTTTAAAAAATAAATAAGCAGACACACGATGTTGAGTGTAATAAACCAGAAATCCGAAGTCTTAATCTTTGCTTACGTACTAGAAAAGTTTTTTTAAGTCCCCTCCACCAGTTCATTTACAATAAACTTCTTCTTCTTCTTCTTCTTCTTCTTCTTCTTCTTCTTCTTCTTCAC